CACACACACACACACACACACACACACACACACACACACACACACACACACACACACACACACACACACACACGCACGCACACGCACACACACACACACAGCCCTTCTACTGTTTCTGATTTAGCAGATGTTGTCCGCTGGATGGAAGAAGAGCACCGTGCTGTCTGCCCGGAGGTCGACAATACTGCACCTGGCGTGAACGTAGAATTCATGTTTATGGCTTTTATGGGTAGGCGACTACAACTCCAGCCTGCTCCGCAAAATCACGTGCCAGGCATGGATCCGAATATTCGGGCATACAACTTATATCGTCCAGGTCATTTTTCAGTGCTCTTACCTTTGCGGATAACTCATGGACCCTCTGGGACAATGGCGGTGGGGTGCGTGCAGCGGGAAATATCAGCTCTTTCTATCACCAAGCAGTAGATCATCACTCGGTCTGGATCGTCCATCAGGAACAGTATGGCAATGAGCACTCGCAACCACTACTGCCTCCGGAGAGCAATCCGGCTGAACCGCCTTCTTCCCCTGTGCATGGTCAGGCAGCATCCACTCCCTGTGTGGATCGGACGGATTCTACCACGAACAGTGAAGGGACCTCTCCAGGAGATGGAGATTGTGCCCTCCTCCCATTGCGTCGTTGCACATGTACAGTCCGGTTAGCATGTATGCACGGCATAGCCTCTGTTCTCCGAACACTATGAAGGGATGGTTGCTGCCAGCCTCTGTCACGAAAACTGCGAACCTTTGTCCCCCCCACAGCTTGATTACTTGCCCAGTATGCCGTTGTGGCCTTGATCTGCCATGCTTGAATAATTGCACACGTCAGCCTTCTTTGCTGATGACAGGCCAGCAACATGCCGTGTGTCGTCGATGTTTCCAGGAAGATGTCATAGAAAGTACGTCTCTACTGTGTGGACTATCCCCGGTGCCGTCATCCGCCACATCCTCTCCTGGAATGCCCCACATGCGGTATCTCGGCACCATCTGTACAGATCCAGTCTTACCCGATCTTCTGTTGAAATTCTTGAATCAATGTTAAGTTCATTGTTAACCAGTTATTTCTGCTCATAAAATTTGTGCGACTACTGTAGGTGTTTGGACGAGGAGGCGAGGAGATGGATTTTCTGGAGCATGAGGGCATCCGGGTGGAGATCGTTCCAGGTGAGGCAAATGCAACCCTAACATTCCACAATCCTTTTGTCCGTCTAAAAAAAAATCTTTTATTTTATTTCCAAAATTTCACCTTTTTTTTTTTTTTTTCTCTTAAAGGAGAAACTAGGTCTCTAGTGAGCGCAGGTGGTTTTGGGAGAGACGTGGTCCTGCGGCTCAACATGGCCCATTCCCATCCAATGAGGGTTAAAACGGCCAAATCTCAACGGTATAGACACACGCTGTGCACGAAATTGCAAACAAACCATACAAATAGAACAAAAGCTACACACACACACACCTGCTCGAGCTCCATTTCAACACTCATGCACAAAATCCACAGTCATAAGCGCTGTTTGTCTGTTTGTCATTCGGTCGGTGTGTTTGTCCGTCTGTTCTTTCCTCTGTCTGTCTGTCCTCTGCCCGTCTGTCTCTCTCTCTCTCTCTCTCTCTCTCTCTCTCTCTCTCTCTCTCTCTCTCTCTCTCTCTCTCTCTCTCTCTCTCTCTCTCTCTCTCTC